AATATAAAGTTGTCAGTTCAGGCAACGTATAGTGCTCGATGCTATGCAGAGCGGTATAATAATAATAATAGTAATAATAATAATAATAAGGAACTCTACATATACACGTCAAATTTGAAATTCCCTCCACTCCTGAAGATTGCCTAGTGCATGAAACAACCTGTAGAGTGAAATTACAAGTTCCTTATTATTATTATTACTATTATATATATATATAAATTGAATTTTTCAATCCTGTAGTTCATGACGGTACGTCTTTAACTACGATACTTTAGGTCATTTTTTTCAATATTGTTTCCCATAACATCCGATTGATATCTAGGCAATTATGGACGGATATTGAATTTAAGTTGGGAAAGGGAGTAAAAGAATGTGTTTTTCTTCAAATGAAAGTTCATAGATTATCTATCAAATATAACATTACTTTATTATTAGTTTAGTGTTTGTTGTTTAGATATACGTACTATCTTTAACATGGTAAATTCTAACGTTGTATAATAGGTGAACGATTCAAAGCCCTCTACGACTATGAAGCAAGAACGGCCGATGACCTCACATTCAGAAAGGGTCACATTCTTATAATCACTGATAAAGGGTGAGTATTATCTCTGAATACTACAAATTTAATATTATAAAATAAAATATAGTGTCTTTTCTTCTCTTTAGACTTTTAGTTTTAATATAAAAACTGTCCTACTCAACAATGTCTGGGAATGTAAGTTTCAATACTTTTGCTTTCACCAATACCGAAACAAGTGCTATTCTCGTGTATAAGGCAATCCTTGTATAATACCAACCCCGAGTTTGAGAAGATTTTTTTAACGATTTTTGTATGTCGGGCGTAGGCCTATAGGACGGCTCTAGTTTACTTTTGACTGCTCCTTATGGCCTGCATCTAGCTTGCTAAAAACGGAGCCACGTGTACCTTCCAACTAGTACAATTTTTATGAGCATTTAAATATTGTTTCCCGCATTTACAATTTAGTTCATTCATATCCATCTCAGTAGTAAATTTGCGTGTTACGGACGATCTTCACGTAAGACGAACATGATTTAAAAATAAAAAAATGTGTAATTGTTGCGCGTATAAAGCTGGGTACTCACTGACTCGTACGACCGTCGGCTGACGAATCAGTGAGCGACACGACGCCGCCTGCTGATTGTCGGTGGCAGTCTGAAGATCGTCATTTTGAAAACGAAACCGTTGTTCGCAAGTTGTGTCACTTTTCTCCATAGAATAGAGCGTCGGGCGCAGTGACGACTTAAGACAACCCTCTTATTCGATCGCAATTTGCTAATTTAAGTCTCGCTCTCAAAGCGACAGCTCAACATCTGTGAAACATTCTACCCTTTTCCATGAAATGCAGTACCACTCTCAGCAACTTTCAAACAAGGCTCAAATCTATTATTTGGAAGTTCTACAAATGTTTTGAGTACAGTACTGGTATTCAAATCCTTGGTCTTGTCGTGGATTGATCATCCGTACCCGCTATCATAGATCGTCTAGTCTTCATAATTTCTTCCTTTATCCTATTATAGCTTTCGTCAATGTACTCTAAGTTGTTTTTCCGAAAGTCATGAATGCACCACTGAGCAGAATTTTGTCCGTGATATCTGGCTCAATATAAATTCTAGCAGTTGATTGATTGATATACACAAAACTAGCAAACATTATCATTTGAAATTCCTTTTATCCTCTGGTAGTGATCCAAATTGGTGGCTAGCGACGTCACTTGAGACAAGTAGAGAAGGCTATGTACCAAGGAACTACATTGAGCCGGCGGATAAGTTACAGTCCGAAGAGTGAGTCTTGATGTCATGAAACTTTTTATTAAGAATATAAATCTAGACGTATTGGTCGTTTCCATTCCATTAAAGTCTATCTGAGAATCAACAAATATTGTGTATAAACATTACTTTATATTTTGTTTGCAATTGCAGTTGGTTTTTTGAGAGACTGATGAGAAAGGATGCTGAGAAACAGCTTCAACTTCCAGGGAACTGCCGTGGTACATTTCTGGTTCGAGGCAGCGAAACATGTCCAGGTTAGAAGAGTGACACATGATAATCACCGTCGTCGTCATATTTTATTATTATTACCATTGATTGTGTAATAATAAATTTTATAGTATGAATGTCATCCCGAAGATTGACAAGGCCATTAGGCCTATATTCTGCGTTTCGCTTTTATTTAAGCATCATTAGCAATAAAGTGGCATCATTATTATGATAATTACCAATTTGTAAACAGGCATTACACATAACGCTTTAAAGATATTAGAGAAAGTGCCAAAAACAAAAGAAGAAAAAAAAAAGATAAAAAATCCACTAAAACTGTGCTTGTTACAAAGCTTGTTTTTATTTATAGCATAAGGTCATATGATTTATAATATTTATATCCTTTTAATATTTCAGGGGCGTATTCTCTCTCCGTCCTCGACCACGATGATAGCCGTGGATTTAACGTCAAGCATTATCGCATTCGGGCTTTAGACAACGGAGGCTACTACATTAGTACAAGGGTCACATTCAGGTCGTTACAAGACCTCGTGAAACACTACCAAAGTAAGCGAGGTATTTAACACGACTTTGCACTTTTGACTTCCATATTTTGTTGTCAAGACAACTTCACTTTCTGTTACAGCAACAAATCGCAAATCATTGATTTTACTAACAATTTTTTTTGGCGCACAAGGGTTTTTTTTTGATTGACAGTGTAAACACAGTGTGAACGCAGTGTGGACATTGCCAAGATATGGGTGCCCTACATTTCAGCCCTAATTTGCATACTTCAGCTAATTTACATATGAAGATGTGCCCAAAAAATTGGTGACTCACTTTATGCCATTCAGCATGCTTCAAAGTATATATTCCAACAAAAAAATAAAATGATCAGAAAATTTTCACGGGCGGCCTTTTTACGACATAAGCCTCCGGACTACTAGTCAACACAGTGTGCTCTGTGAACACCCTGTGACATTTTTCTAAGCGATGCCATATACATACATGACAACAACAAGGGCGGGTACTACGATCTATTGAGGAAGTCGAGACGGCAAAGGCATGTTCCAAAATTGTTGTATCTTATTAAAAACATCTTATTAAAATATTGCCGAAGACAAATAAATATTAAAGTGGCAGAAGAGAGACCAATAACGTTGATTATTTACTGTTCCCTCATTAAGTTATAGTATACGTGCAAATTATCGATACTCTTTAAGATTTCCTGTTAGTACGGTAATAATTACAATTTTCGCCCATAATGCGGCGTATTACAAATTAGGCATTTAACTATTTGTGCGTTATTACTGGGGTTTGTCTGATTTTTCTCGTGATTTTCTAGCCCATGCGGATGGTCTTGTCTGTCGGCTCATCAGCCCATGTCCTCGCCAGAAGCCAGCCATGTTTGAGATAAGTAAAGACGTTTGGGAGATTCCAAGAAATTCAATCAAACTCGAAAGGAAGTTAGGAAACGGACAATTCGGCGAAGTATGGGAAGGTGGGTTCATGTAATTAGTGGACCGAAAAATAGTAGAGATAATAATGACTAATTCATTTTATCGTATACAAACATTAAATCTAAAACATACCTTTTCAATTATATCTTCTAAAGGTGTTTGGAATAATACGACTAAAGTTGCTGTAAAGACGCTGAAAGAGGGCGCTATGGATCCTGCTGCATTTTTAAGGGAGGCAAATATAATGAAGCAATTACGACATCCAAAATTGGTCTCTCTTCTTGCAGTATGTTCTGATGGGGTAAGTTTACACATGCTCCCACATCCTATCCGGGATTCCAGATCGCCAGATCTTACTTAGGGATGCCGACTTTCTCAGCGTCAACATAGCTGGATGTAGGCCTACCTCTGACACACTGAAATCAATACAAGGAACGTAACTTAACTTCGATGACCAAAACATCACATATTTGAACCTTATAGAACCTATTACCTATGTGTACCATTCATTGTCTCATCTTGATTTGTATATATTATTTCCTATTCGGCAACGGTGGTAATTTTCCAAACAATGTGTCATTTTCACGGAAATATCTACCATCAACCGCTCTAGAGGATTTATTTTCATCCTCTGACATCCTACACGCTCACTCACACACCCATACGCATGTGCTGAGTATAATTTTTATTTGTGAGGATTGAGGAAATTAATGCTATTTTTTGATTCACGTCGTCTGCATTTTACCCTCCAGGAACCAATATACATTGTAACAGAACTCATGGTGAATGGATGTCTACTGGACTACCTACACGAAGGCGAGGGCAAGAATCTGCGAGAACATGAACTGATAGACATCACTGCTCAGGTTTGTAAAACCCTTGTCTTTCTCTCTCCCCCTCTCTCCCACTCCCTCTCTCTCTCTCTCTCTCTCTTATCCGATGTACAAATAAGTTAACATTCACCACATTTGTACGCAAACTACATACATTTTTCGCAACCTTTTTGATATAAATTCTGTGATAACATTTTATTGACAAATGCTAGGTCTCAGAGGGTATGGCGTACTTGGAGTCGCAGCACTTCGTACATCGTGATCTTGCAGCGAGGAACGTCTTAGTCGGTGAACATAGGGTCTGTAAAGTTGCTGATTTTGGGCTTTCTCGACTTGTTGAAACAGAATACATCGCAAGAGAAGGTACGAATATTAAACAGTAGTGTAGTAGTAGTAATAATTATGATTATAATATTGATCAGAATGTGATGGTAATGGTGGTGGATAATGATGATGATGATGATGATGATGATGATGATGATGATGATGATAATGATTATGTAATTTTGTCAAACGCTCGTTTTATACTTTCTCCAAAACAACCTGCTAATTGTTGTAAAAATAGGCCTATATATATCTTAAAAACCCGTAGGAGCACAGTGTTGATTGCATTCCAAATTAAACTCAAATTTAATTGCGCTTCTTCATCAGCACATAGACCTGTACCAAATTAGCATTTATGTAGGCCAAATGAGATAATGGACTCAAGATAAACTATAACATTACATTATTTAAAAATACAAAACAAATACGGGAAGAAAAATATAGCACCACCTAATATAAATATAGCCGGTTATGAACTATGGCTATTCTCCTTCCCCCTATATAAATGTGATGAGGAAGAATATTTTTACACTATATTTTTACAGTTCATTGCCGTAAGGTTTTGTTTAGGTTTTTTTTTTTTTAATTCCAGCGGGTTGGAGCTGAAATTTAATATGCAGTACATGAGTTATAATATCCATAGCAATTGATCAGAGTATAAAGACTTTACTTTGATGAGGGTAGTGATCATGGTGATGGTGATTGTTATCTTAAATTTTTTGATAGTTTAAACGTACTGTCTGTTTTTGGTTTCTGGCTAACGTCATATTATGTTATGTTTTTAGGTGCTAAGATGCCTATAAAATGGACGGCTCCAGAGGCTATCAACTTTGGTAAATTCACGATCAAATCTGACGTGTGGTCTTTCGGTATTTTGATCTACGAGGTCATAACAAAAGGACGTGTACCATATCCAGGTACGAACTCTATGAAGATATTAATAAATATATAATTTGGTGTGTCTTAATACATTATCCTACAAAGAAATTTAAACTGCTAGCCACTGTTTAAAACGAACAAGTGCAATTAGCTTATATGAAATCACAATATTTGGAAATACTAGTACGTTTGGAAATCACACTATTTGGAAATATCAGTAGGCCTATTCAGTACATTTCACGGCAGGTAGGGCAAAATTACACCTATACATGTTTCTCCTGACGCAAATCCACTTATTGTCTATTCCATCACGACAATAACAATTACTATCAACACTGCAGTACCCGCTCCTTACTTGGACTCGAATTCAACCCTGGCCATCAGGTGCAAGCTCGGTGGTATGATGCCAGGCTAGTGATCTGGAGATCGTTGGTTCGAGTCCCACCCGAGAACAACTTGCGATTTTTTTCGCAATTGTTTTCAAACGTACTAGGTATTCAGTACATTTCACGTCCGTAAGGCAAAATTACACCTATACAGAAATACCAGTACTCGTACAATTTTGAATATACTAATTTAAATTTAAATTTACTTGGTTTCTTGTTGAATCTTTTGATTTAAATCAGGGAAAGTTCGACTAATCTTTTACTTGGTTTAAACCCAGGCTCTGTAGGAAAAAAATGCTATGTTGTACAACTGATAATTTTTAAAAGACAAAGAGGATATTTGTATAGATTTTTAAATAGACTTTTCGATATTTAAAATCTGGAGGAAAAGGTGGAAACTGGGTGGTTACGCACATTTCCTCCAGTTTTTGAATATTCAAAAATCATTCCTGAGTTTTCCGTCACTACTTTTTCCCCCTCTGCTCCTGGCTTTAACCAAAAAGAAAATGTACATAACAATTATAATATCTGATGAATATTGGTTATGTGTGTATACCTTGTATTAATAGCCTACATCAATAATGTGAACCTTTTACCTGTAATATTATAGGAATGGTAAACAGAGAGGTACTAGAACAAGTGTCACGTGGTTATCGAATGCTCCAACCTCATGATTGTCCGGAGGAACTATACGGTATAATGCGCCAGTGCTGGGACATCAATTCAGACAAAAGACCTACGTTCGAGTTTCTGTATTCGTTCCTGGATGATTTCTACCACGCCGCGGAAGCACAATATCAATAACATCAACATAGCCAGCAATGGTATGTGATGTGTTTGGAAGAGTGAACATGAGGGATGTGTGCGAATGGTGTTGTGTTGTGCAGGGTGAGATACTTAAAATTCAGAACATTGAGGTTTAACATAGGCCTAAAGGAATCAACTTTAGGTCCCACATTAAAAACAAAAATGAATAAACGAATGAACATTATTATCGCCTTGTACTGGTCTTCCAATATTATGTTTTAGCTCATCTACATTGTAGATAATAAAATATAGCGTAAAACTTGTACTTTTATGAAAAACATTATATGTATTCAATGTAGTTTATGCCCGTCTGTTTTATGTATAGAAAATGGAATCAAAATGTAAATAATAATAAAATAATCTTAAATTTTTAATCGGAAAGCGGATTGATCAGTTACGTATGTAGTTTATTAGAATAATGCCAATATATTTGATATGTGAACCGTAACATTAAGTTGAGTGTCGCCTATTGTGTTATGTTATAATGTGTAATCGATTGCTCAATGCAAAATGCAAAACAGCATTGATGTAAAGTATTATTAATGTTAAGTTTTTGTCTCCAAGTATAAATAATATAAGGAGTAAAATTATAAAAAAAGAATCAATGCTTACAGAAGTAATAATAAATATGCATTGTAAAACGCAAAATTAAATAGTATGTTTAAGAAAAAAAAACAGCACTACCGAAGTAAATTGTTGTAATGTGAAGATATGAAATTAACGAATTATTGAAGTTATAAGATTTCAATGAGTCTTAAACGACTTCGAGCAAGTGAGGTTCCTAACATAAGAGTAATGGAATTCTAGTCTAGGATACATACTTATTTTAATTCATTACAACTGTTGCACAGGATTGGGAAGTCTGGCCAGATATTAGAAATGAATTCTAAACAGTGGTGTATCTAGGGGTGTGGGGGACGCACCTCTCCTCCCCAAAAAATACTTTCCCCAGTCTTTCCTCCCAAAATCGTGGTCAAATAATTGAAAATCACCTAAAATCACTTTATTTTGCGAGCTAGAACCCCTCACCTAGGCCTAATCATCCTCCACGTGACCTTCGCGTTCCCCATCAGTTTCCCCATTTTAAGAGTCAAAGTCACATGCCACTTAATCTGAATAGTGAAGAGCATGACTATTGTATTTTGAAAAAGAAGCACAAACCATTACATTTCCTTTTTGTGCAAGAGAAACCATTTTACTATTATCAAGGCGGTATTCAAATGATAGAGGCATTGCATTCCATCAAAGGGAAGTTTGACATGTTTCTGAATCCTCTCAATCCAACTGATATCACACATGCCATGTAAGGATATCCTTCTGCGGACGCATACAATACTCCACAATAGGATGGCAGAGACTTGTAAAGGGAAGATGAGAGTTTAGAACGACTAGAAAATATTTTAGTAAATTCAAGAACAGAAGAGGCTTTTTTTGCACATTGAGCCAATATGGAGATGCTTAAGTATAATGGCTCAAAGGTATTTGGAGAGATGACTGTAAAGCGATTTCAATGTAACTAACCAAATAAGGGACTATAGGAATTGTACGCCAGGAGAATATTGCAATGCGATAGAATCTGAAAGGGATTTAACGATCGTTGGAAATTAACAGTATCATTGGCGTACATGAACAACTTAACTATATGCCACATTTAAAAACTATTTATTGATTTCAGTTTGCGTTGATTGGAAATAGAGTGTGTTGTTCATTCATAAAGATTGTTAGTATGAATGTAAAACCTTTAACCAGTTGAAATGCCGACAAATCTCACATTGGCCACCGTGTGGTTTAGTAGTAAAGGATAAGGAAATGATTGGTCTTAGTTTCTGTTACTCTAATCTTTAGAGGTCATCAGATCAATTCAAAACTAATATAAATATGCCTAAATTGTATTCACATTGTGTCTTTGGGAAAGGGGTGAGACCCCCCAAAATACATATCCGCTAGATCCATACTTGGTTTTCGTATAGGCCTACTTGGGTTTCTGTTCTGTGATGGATCTCAAAAAAGTGTGACCTCGGAAATTCAGAACATATTGTTTAACTAGTAACTAATGGTAGGCCTACCCACTCGGCAAGTTGAATGGCCGAGCGTTCATCCATAATATCGGCGCTGAGTTCGAATATTGGCGCTGGTTCTTGGAGGTGGAACAAGTCTTAGATAAGGATTTAACCCTTAGCCCAGTGTGCAGTTGCCTCATGTGCACTAACGAAACCCAGCTGTACATCTTTCGAGACGAGTAGGGGGTTACCCTGGTGTACTGGTTCATACAGCCCCTGTTGTGGACAGATGAGTGCAGCTGGTGCCGGTTTACCGGGCAACTCAGGCACGAAGAGACCCTTATAGGGGAGAAGGAAGTAACTGAATGAGCTACAGTATATCTGAGACAACTATCTGAGACCCTTAGGGGCGAAGAAAGCCATAGATCGAGTTCCTGTCCACACATCAAGCGCCCTGAGCATCTTACATTAGATGGATGTGCGCTATATAAACTACATTATTACTATTATTACTGTATTATTATTATTATTATTATTATTATTATTATTATTATTATTATTATTATTATTATTATTATTATTATTATTATTATTATTATTATATACGTATATAGTTGTCTTAGAGTATATATAGTCCACGCTTTGAGCGCTCATATCCTCATAAAATAGCACTATATAAATGCTGTAATGTATGTTAGTCATCTTAAACTTCAAAAATTCTGATACGAATGGTCCCAGATGGATCTACATGCACTTCGAGACAGCTGATAATTAGCTGCGCAGGGCAAAAACGGACATAATTTAAATGGTAGATAGTTTGGAATCTCATGTAAATAAATAATAATGTGTATATAGAATACAATTCTGTCTATAATAGTAGCTATAAGGAGGTGTATTTTATTCTTGTTAAAGAAAAATATTACATTTAATCAGAGAGTGACTATTGAGACAGACAATTAAAGACCATCCAAGGCAGGATTGTTTTATGTTTATTATTTAATTGTGTAATAGTTTCAATTCATTTTCAAAATCTAATATTAACAACAGGAATTGACTCACAAATATATGATCTTAAAGATTACGATACGATATATTTTATTTCGTCCAAGAGGAAACGTTCTATTAACATCAAAGAAATCTAACCAAACTATGCATCATGGTAGGGACGCAACTCTACTAAGGTATCGTACTAATGACCCGCATACCATCCCAACCCTAACCGTACTCTGCATTATAGGGTAGGGGCGTTACTCCACTAAGGTCCTAATGACCCGCATATCTCACCACGAATTGTCATTCAGGAACCTAAAACAAAATAAAAATTGAAACATTTTAAATTCTCACAGACAGAAGATGGCAGAAATGAATTCCTGTATCTACTCGTTCTACATCGTTTACCAGATGGTGTAGTATGAATTTAACGGGTGACGAGTATTGCTCATAATCAGTTTTATTAATTTAACAGTGTTTTCTGTATTTATTTCGTTCATGATTGATATAATTGATATATTCCCATTTATTTTGCAGGCATGCCTGGTGATTCTACAAATCTTGAATATTATTTTTCTAGAATTTCCGTACCATACAATACAATTAAATATTATGATACTCTCAATAGTCTATAATACTAATAATAGTCAGTTTACCCTTTAAAACTTACAATTTACACACACACACACATACACACACACTCCACCCCCACACACCCCATCCACACCCACGCACACACACATACATACATATATATGTAGGCCTATATAAATTATTTTTTATTATTTTATAATGCCAAATATAGCAAGACATATTGTTTGAAGGTTTGCATGGCGAAGTAACAACAATAATAATGCAATTATATGCATTAATTACTATAAGAAAAAAAATGTTTAAAGTAAATCTAGGGGAATGAGGGTTTTCCCTTTTTTTCCCTGCCCCCCCCCCTTTTTTTTTTTTTTTTCAATTATGCTTATTGTAAGAATTGAAAGATGAATGTTAACGCTCTGTTTTGGTTTTAAAGTCTAAAAAGTAATCAAACCGATAGAGGGTGGTATAAACAATTACTGTAGCAAGGATTCAAAGCCGCTGATTCGGAAACTGAAAATCTGGACGTCACTGGCTGTGTTGTAAATGTATATTTGACTTAAAACTTATCTAATATAATTCATAATGTCAATTAATACAGTTTACTTTGGCTTACCATGTTTTTAATGGAGTGAGAGAATAGGCAAACATTCGTGGATATTTCTACTATTTATAAAAAAAGGCCTCACAGGCGTCAACCCATGCGATACTGATGCCAGTGTGATATTTCAGAGTGATCAATATTTACTTCATATTACTTAAACATTTTTTTAACAATCAAATTCGAAACAATATTGTTTAAGCCTAATTATTACACGACACTTGCATTTCAATTTTTTTTATCCAATTTATTGAGCAAATATTCTTATTCTTGTATTATCCAAACTTCCAGCGCCCCTTATTGTTTTTTTTTTTTTGTTTTTTAATGAGATTCCATTTAAATACATTGACCCAATGACTTAAAAACGTCAGCCTGATAAGGTTGCTATGATTTGACTTAGCTACGGTATAGTAAACTATAGCTCCTAATATATGTTTGTTTTGACGTTATTACAATATCAATTTGGATTATCAATATATACCTGGTACTGTTTTAAATTCAAAGATCAACTAGGTCTATGAAAATTTTGATCGAGAAACTGCAGTAGTCGTAAAGAACCCAGTGTTTAACCAGGACATACAACGTAGTATTGCCCTTTGATCAATCATCTTTTCCGACAAGATAAGAGAGGGGTATATTTATCGGAATAAACTATGAAAAGATAAGCTCGGTACCGTTATTTCTTACGTTATCGCCTTTTTGGGCATGCGCATTAGGCTTTCGTTCGGCTGGGTTCTCCGCGATCGAGAGACACACATACACACATTAAACTGTTGAAAAAAACCAGGTCCATGAAAATACGAATACAGTATGGACGATTTAGATTTTTGCGTCAACGATGCAGAGATCGATAATAGAAACGCAAAATGTACTATGTATGCAAACAGAAGTCAGAGGATAAAATGATTGCATGTGGTGGTCCAAACTGTACTTGGGCCTAGGCCTAGTAATACGTGGTACCACTACTTCAACTGCATAGGCTTGACACCAAATGAAATAGCCTTCCTAGCGATGGCCTGGGCTTGTAAACGGTGCGTAGTCGCAGCTTCAGCATGAGCGGGTGACAGCAACCTACAGGGGCCTAGCTGAGAGAAACAGACGGGTTCAGTACCGTCAGTTAAAAAAAGGTACCCTGTATTTTTTTTATTTTGCCTAATATGGGCTAAAACATGGACCTGTAGTATTAATAATTTTGGTAGGCCCCCTATTTGTTTGATTGACTTCAGTTTTCATACCTACTTTTGTGTATGTTATGTTTTTTATTGATGCCTGGAAATTTATTTTCACAAACCTAGATTAATAAATAC